CATCACAATTTCTTAAACATTTTCATGGCTTCACTAATTCAAATCATCATTTCACAAATCTCAAGACAGGGAGAAAGAAAGAGAAAACTACTCAGATCTCATGGGAAAAACACAACAAAACTTGAAATTCATATATAAAAGCAAAGTCATACAAACTACAACAATAAATAAACTTATCTCTAGTTTCTCTCCAAGAAAACTCCTCGAAGTTCCTCTGAATCTCTTCCTTTCTTTACAGCATACAGAATTCCTCTTTGAAGTGGCAAGGAGGAAGAAATCTCTCACTTTCCCTCCACTCTTACAATCTCTCGAAGAATTCCTCATAATTTAAACTCTCTAGCACCTCTCCCGTCTCCTCAATTTTCAGCTAAAATCTTCTTTTAAAGTTGTGGATGAGCTTTCTCAATAGTTGCCTAAGCACCCCTCCAAAATTCATCTTCATCCAATGCCTAATTGGACATAACCGCTGAGCTCGCCGTCGGCGGCCTCGAGGGCGTCGTCGGCGGACCTTCTAAGTGAATTAACTCTGGAGTCTCGGTAAAATCTCGTTGTCGGCACTGTTGGGGCTCGTCATCGGCGCTGTTGGGCTCGCCGTCGGTGCCCTAGTTCAAATCTTCACATTTTTGGTCCTTTTTGCTCCAAATTCGCTCCTTTTTGCATCTTTTTGCTCCAATGACCCTAATTCATCATTCCTGCAATAAAACATCAAAACTATCTTTCATTAAAGTGCAGTATCATCAAAAATAGTATAAAATAGGTATGAAAATCTCAACATATTTTCTTTTGGTCAGAGACTCACTCTCTGCCCGATTACTTTACGTGAGCACTGAAGCATCGAGACTGTTACCACACAAAATAACCTTTCTTTGATTGCATATACCTCAGGTCTATGATAATATAAGCGAAACTTCTTTTTTCGAGAGTATTCTTGGGTATCCCCAAGTTTTAATTAACCAATAGGAACACGTTCCTCTGGGAGTGCCCTTGAGCTCATAACAGGTACATACACCTGACTCTCTAATTACGGGTAGTCTACATAGATACTTCTTTCACGAATATTGGTTTAAGATGTCTCCGCCAGATCTTGTTTGAGTGGACATTCTAGACCTATCCTTGTGAGGTTTATCGCACTTAGACTCTCTAAGTTTTAAGTTCTCTCTTATTCATCATTTTGTCGTATGCCGCTCTAGAGCTCCCACTAATCCCTCACCTGAGGGCTAACAACCTCGCATTAGTTTCCAATCAACTGGACCAAATTGAGAAATTTAATCTGTAACCTTAAAATCTCAAATTCAGCATCCAATAAAGTATATTTCCCTATTTATTTGCATTCAACCCCATGGATGACATCCTTTCCCATAGAATTGAATGTGATTCTCACTATGATGTAGAAATTATAGCCCTTTTAGATCATTTGTTTCTAAACACATTTTAACATTTCAATTGGCCAGACCAAAAAGTAAATGAAGATCAGAGTTCGAATCTTCACAAATTATTGACATTTAAAATAGTATAAAACAAAATCAAATCTTCATAAAACCAATTCTCATTGTAGAGAGAAGGATAAGGAAAACTACTCAAAATTTATGAGAAGGTAAGAACAAAACACGGATTTCATATATAAGAACAAGTTCACAAACAAAGAAATAAAAGACCCAACTTATCTCACAATCCTTCCCAAGCAAATCTCATGAAATTTTCTTCAATCACTCTCCCTCTTTACAAGCACTCTCATTTCTCTCTTGAAAGTGTAATGAAGAAGAAATCTCTCACCTTCCCTCTCCTCTTACAACCCTAGAAGAAAATCTACAAGACCTTGACTTTCTCTCTCTCTCACGCCTTAATTGCCTCTCTTTCGAAACCCCCTTCACACCACCACCATGCCCTAGACTTCCCTCTCTTTTATTAAAGGTTTCTCCCTCCAAAAAGAATTTGAAATTCTCTCCAAAATTCTATCCAAAAGTCAACCCTTTTGAATTCTAGAATATATGTCTATTGATCCAAGAAACATATTCCTTCATAAAAGAACCTTCCAAAGTGTCTAGATGCATTGAATCACTCTATGGGGCGTTTAGAACAAGTGGTCCCTTTGAAATTCATGCAAAATTCATCCCGAACCGCTTTAATTCATAAAAAGTCATCTATGTTGCCTCAGGCACTGGTTTTGGCGCTTCAGGCGCCAAGTTGCTTAACAACGCGTTGTTCTAGGTTTTAGCGCTTTAGGCGCCAACTCTCTGTAAAATGGTGCTTCAGGCACCAGCACTCTGTAAAGTGGCGCTTCAGGCGCCAAAATCACAAACGGTGTTTGATCGGCGGTGATAAACTGTGGTCGACGACTATGAAGGTCATTTTTTATTTGCCTTGTTTGCTCTCTAGGATAAGCTCTAGAATTCCACTTCATCCTTTCTTTTTCTCCTCCCTTTTAAGTGAAGAGAGAGGACCAACTTATAACTCTTAGAGGAGGGGCATTTTGGTCTTTTAGCGCATAACATTCCTAACCACTTGATCGAACGGTCCCTATTAATCCCCCTTGATCACAAAGAGTTTTTTTTCATGATTTGAGTGTTTTAATAATATAAAAATTTAGCAATCTTAGACCATTTGATTTCTCTTATTGGTATGCTCGGTTTGACTTTAAATATGTCAAATCTAGAATTTGTTTGGCAAAACAATTGAAGATCTAAAGCCTCTAATGTGCTTCGATGACATTATCAAAGCTTGATTAAACTCATGTTGAATCATATTTTGAATCATTTGGTTTATCTTTTTGAGACGATCAGTTTTACTATAAACTTGTTGAAATTGGAGCCCAAATGATCTCAAATTTAAATTTAAAAAATATTTCATAAAAAATCCATCGAGATACATGCTTTTTAAATTTTTTTGAAGAAACATCAATATATATATTATTTGGGTAACTTTTTCAACAGTATTTATGTTTTAAATCTCACTCTAGTTCTATTCTATAACTTATTATTAATTATTAATATTTTCATCTTTACTTTCATTCCAAATATTTATAGTAAGTATTAATTATCCTATTTTTCATATGAATAGGACACATTTCTTCTAGGTAAACATATCTCAAATGTTAACTTTTATATTCACACACATAACAATCAAATTTTTCATATTACATAAAATATAAACTTATTATTACTTTTTAAAAGTAAATACACCTTTTCTTCTATAATTTTAAAACACAAAAATATTATGTATATAAATAAAGAAATTTTGGGGTGAGATATGTAATTACATTGGAATTATGTGCAAGGTACGTAAATTTTCCTCCTTATAATTTCTATGAAGCGTTAAATGACACATTAAATTTTGATTAATTTTATCTATGTAATAGCCATGAAACTTAGTCTCATGGTAGTCACTATTTTACTTCAGTATAAAGGATAATAGCATGAAGAAAAAAAAAGGAAAAGAAAGGCTCACTAAAATAAAATATCTTGTAGTTACACCTACTTTAGTACAATAATGGATGCGGGAGCCCTGCGCTAAAAGAAAATTTCATACACAAAATTACACTGGCTGTTGACGGAGGATATATTTTGACAAGCAGACCCCGTAATTTATATACCAAGGACTTTTCCTGCAATCCTCTCAGTTTTCTCGCTGGCCAGGTAATCTCTAATCTATTAGACTTAAGACCAATCCAACCCCTTACACGAAGAAGACAGAAGTGTCAAAAAACTCATCATGATCCATTTCTCCATATTCCAGCAAGTACTCAATGTTCATAACCTGTGAACCTGTCACTGAATTTGCTGAACAAATTGCTTCAGTTAGTATGGAATCTGCTTGGCCGTTCATTTCACATGGAGGCCATGGAAAGCCGCATGATCCATATCTAGTTGGTGACATAAGCGCTGAAGAGAGAATTCCTTCATAACCGCACTCTGTACGGGGAGAAGAGCAGAGCAAGTTTTTCTCTGGATTCATTCCCTCTGTTGACGTGGATGAGAAGGAGGATGAAGTGGTTGGGTCCTGATTCTCCATGTCTGAGCTTTCTGTCTTTACTATAAAGTTGGTGGTTTGGAAGTCAAGATCCAGAGCCACATTATTCTGTTGATCAAGTAAGCTCTGTTGTGGGTTATAAAAACGAGAATTTTGTACATTCTGCTGCGGCGAATTGGAACATGTGTGAGTTCCCAGGTAGGTTATGTCTAATATTGAGGGGTTTTCATCTGATTTCTGCACTTGTTTCATGGCCGAGCATCCCTGAGTCTTGCGGTAAGTGCAGCGGTAGTATGATCTGCAGAGTTCGTTAACAAGACGATTTATAGTTAGGTACTTAAGAGAAGCTTTAGCAGTCAAATGAAGTTTAAAGATGAAAAATTTTCCCATTTTATGGAGACAGATGTTTGCTTGTTGAATAAATGACATAACGACATGCTTATCCTTTGTGAATGAAACAGCATTTTCAAGTTTGTGGCTGTTGAGGATTAATAATTTCACCTTCAAGCACTAGAAGAAAAAGGCAAGGCATACTTTTGACCATGCAAAATCACCCGAGTGATCAAAATATTTATTATACTTACTTTAAATAGAGAATTTTACAGTAATATTTTGTTTAGTACTAACCTTGGGTGTTTCGCTCTAAGGATTTCTTTCTGGCCGTATTTTCTCCAGCTATGGCCGTCATCTGGCGGCACTCCAGCTCCCTCTTCTGTGATTACTCTCACTTGGCTGGTCCTGTTGGCATGTATCTTCCTGCAACGACATGAAACTAAAGTTTTAATTTTTATCATTAAATTTTCTGTTCGGATCAAGTGATGCGATGTTATGAACTACCTCTTCTTGAATATCTTCTGCTCTTTATCACTGAATTCCTGGCTCAATCTCTGCTCATGAAGTCCCCTGCCATTGGGAAACACCAACTCTGCTTCACCAGCGCCGCTTGTCTTCGCCGTGGAGATAGCCTTCTCGATAGAGCAGATGATCTCTCTTGCAACTGTTCTACAGATTTCAATCTTGGAAGGCTCAAGATTCTCGCTGAGCTTCCTCGCAAGCTCATAGACTTGGCTCAGCTCATAAACCACCATTTCTGTGCCCCTCTGCATCTTTGTCCTCTCTGGTTCTTCGGACACAGAAAATATATAGAAGAGAGGTTCGAGTTGATTTGGCAATTGTGTGATAATTTGATTATTCCTAGACCGTAGCTACGTGTTAGCTATGTAATAGTGATAAATGAAATTAAAGTAAAGCGAGGAGTACTAAAGAAAAGACTTGGAAATTGCACGGAAGCAGAAGCTTCAACCACGTTTACGCGGAGTAGAATAGTTTGAGAGAGCGAGTGATTGAGAGAGAGAAAGGGACAACTGACATAAGCCGCGGTTTAAGCTGCACTCGCAGAAGTGGAGCCCGCAAATGTGCGCCACGGCTGCGCTGTTACCCGAATTGAAGGCTAAGTGCGGTAAGATTACCGCGAGTTGGAATAGGTGGGAAATCGTTTTCCCGGAAAAAGAATAATGGAAAGTTCTAACACGAGGGTGACCGTTTCGAAAATTTCATTCGCACCTGCAGTGACCCCGCAACAATGTGTGTTCATATCTTCTTTGGAGGAAATTTGCGTCGCGGCTCCTTGTCTTTTCCCAAGGCAGATGTGATAGATTCTGGAAGAGATTTTTCTTTTTCTTATGTTTAAATTGAGCATTGATGATAAGTAAATTTGATGCTTGTCAAAAACTCGCCTGGGATTAATTTTGATGGTTGATATATTTTGTAGGACAAATTTTTAAAGCTGGATAATTTTAACTCAGAGTCATAATCCTTGATGTTTATTCAGGCTAATGATGTTTTCCACAAATAGTTTTATTTTGGGGAACTCTTCTGTGCCAAGCTGGATATCTGAAAATCCTTTGGAACTTTGGACATGTGTTTTCTTGTTCACAAAATGTTACCAAAAAGGTTTTCCCCTCATTTTTTGTGCCCTGGTAAAACTATGCGTTTAATATATTTATTCCTCTGTTTGCATTAGTGGATCTCTAGAAGGTTTTCTTAATTCTTTTTTCGTTTGGGAAAAGCGTACTCTCTTTCTCTTGACCTATTTTGTATTATTATAAATGCTTTCTCTAAATTACAAGATAAGGATCATGTCTCTCTCCACCAGTAGAAACTTTCTCATCTTTTGCATGCAGATGAAGCCTTTGTTTTTGAAAACCTCAAGGTTTATGACTTTTAGCCCTTTCACAAAATTTTGAACTACATTGAGGGCTGGAAGGCTAAAACTCTATTTTTCACTGGAAAACTTTTCAATTCGTCAAATTTACTATATGGAACTCTTTCGCCTACTGACGTAGAGCTTTTCAACTTCCCAAAACATGAATAAAAAAAAAACATTTTGCTATATGTCTCTATCATGGCTCTACTCCACCCGGAAGCTACATTTAATCTTTTGGGACAAAACTTGCAAGCCTAAATTATATGGGGGTTTAAGCACTTCTCTCCATTTTGCCCTCTTTAAGGGTTTCAACTATTGCTTCATTTGGAGATTTCTTTATAATTCTTGGTTAGTAAGTTCTTGGTGGAAGCAACACCACATATCTTTATTGAAAAATGGATATTATCAACCTATACTTTCTAGAAAAAAATAGTCAAATATGCCTCTTCCTTCAATGACAAACTCATTTATAAGATTTATAATGGAGATAGTAGCAGCTTTTTGGGAACCATAGGTTCAAGGTATATCTTCGACATATATTTTTGGTTTGATTGCAATTCTTGCTCTTCATGCACATCCTAACCTTATTCATAGCACTTACAGTCTCAATCATCAGTGGAATCATAATAACATGAATAATATTCCTATAGCCGATGTTATTACTGTTAACACCATTTATAACTACACATGTGATCAAATTAGTTGGGATGGTAACTTCGATCCTTCAAAACTTATTTGCACTCTTCTTGTACTGATTTCTCCATTGTCCTTTGGCATGAATACATGGCATATGAAATATGTTATTCACTATTCTACTTATGCATAGCATTATTTTATGGATGGTTTGAAAAATGCAGATATTGTTATATTTCATAATGTTGGTATTAGAAAAGATTGTTGCTTCTGTAATTCTGAAACTGAGACTAAAGACCACGTGTACTTTGAATGTTGATAAACTTTCACTCTCCTGTCTAAATAGCTCCACTACAGGAAAAAAGCACTATAACCAGCGGCTAAAATCTTTTTCGGTAAAAATGTCATATTTTCTAACAATTTTACGACGTTTTGTGTTGAGTTATTTCTAACGGCATAGCAATAAGACATACCATCACTTATGATCAATAGATTTATTTTCGACGGTTTTTATTATAATTGAAGCATTTCACAGTTGATTATAAGCACATAATAATCGATGGTCATATGTCGCTGGTTATTTACGAACCCGTCATTTGGTGGGGCGTTAACCGGTGAGCTTTTTAGTAATCTCTGGTCAAAATTGTTGGTATTAATGTTAATAACCTACGAAGTTGAAGCCGTTTGTAAATAGTTGGAAAGAATCCTTTATTCCCTAGAAATTTATTGCGCCCCTGAACTTACCCTAATTCTCCCCTCCCCTCCCCTCCCCTTCCCCCTCTCAGCAAGTATAGTGCCCCAGTGACTAGAACTCCGACGACCCCAGCTCCGGCGACTCCAACTCTGACGACTTACTTGCTCTAACGCTCAAAATTATGGTTGGATGCTCTTACTGGACATTTACATGAGGATGTAACTTGGTTTATGATTTTCTTGTTGATATCCTTCTTATGAATATATCTAAGGTGCGAACTCCTAAGATATCTCAGGTCTAGTGTTCTAGGTGATGGTGATCTAGAAGAGAATGTTATTAGTAGAATTCAATTAGTTTGTTGAAGTAGAGGAATGCTTCAGGTCTATTGTGTGATAGAAAAAGTACCACCTAGACCAAAAGGAAAGTTTTATAGGATGGTGGTGAGACCAGTAATGCTCTATGGCATAGAATTTTGGCCTTTAAAAGAGAAGCATAAAATTATGTTAAGTGTTGACGAGATGAGAATGCTTAAGGGGATGAGTAGTGTCGGAGCTATTTTTGGTTGGAGGGGAGTTGCCCGTAAGAAGCTGTCAATCTCCAGAATTAAAATCATGTCGCCAGCTTCGGAAGGACGTTGAAGTTTAAAAAAGTATGAAATCAAAATGACCCCATATTTTTCATAGTTTAAAATGAAATAGCATTGTACCTCAATTCATGTATCTATCACGAAGGATAAACACAAGATTGAGGATGAGGCACGATCAAATAAACTAAGAAACTATGACGTCTGTTTGGTCTGCGAAACCTTTGTATTTGCCGACAAATTCCCCTGTTTAATATGAAAAATTAAATATGATTTATATTAAGGTGGGTTCTGAAATGTTTCCTATAAGGGCAAGCCCCTATAGTTAATTACATACCAAAGTCACTTAAGAAGACTCTCGATAAAATTCAGAAAAATATTATCTTCAAGGAGTTTCAAAGGGTGGGACTCTTCAATGAGATCGGACGTAGAGGTGTGAAAAGGGGATTGCTTCAAATTTGGAACATTTTATTGTAGAATCCAAAGGAGTAAGAACTAGGGGATGTCATGGATCTAGAGGTGAACCTCGGTGACTTCCCAAGCTATCCTAATATTTGGCTTAAATTTAGAGGAGAAAATTTTAAGTGTTTCATCCTGCAAATCTTGTTAGTTAGGGCTTACATTCGTGTGAAATGATCACACATATAGCCTGGAAGATATGTGGATTTAGGTCGTGACAAGCGAGATCCTCGGAATCCTAAGACGAGTTAGGACTTATATTGTATAGCAGGGCTACACAAAGGCCTAAAGATAATGTGAGGATTTACGTTGCATAAGCAAGCAACCTCGAAGTCCTATGGCTTTGTTGTTTAAGTCTAAGGAAGGAAGATTGGTTTAGCTGGGGAAGACAGATTTTGCTGTTAAAGATGGCCGTGCTGCCCACCAAGCTAGCTCCAAGCTCCTTGCCGCAACGAGTTTGAGT